TGGGTTTAGTAAGAACGTCTCGGAAGACAACAATCATGTATGCTAGCATTGGATCCATAGATGACAACGTAGCCTCTGAAAGGATTGACTGGAGGAGTCTCACAAGCATAACTCAATCGACCAAGCGGCGGATAGCTTGACGAGCGATAGCGACACCAGTATACACTATGCGAGCAATACATCGATCGTCATATATGATGTCATCATGCACAAAAAGGTCTTGTGGATTAGTGCCAGGTGGGATCTGAGTGCAACTTGATCTCCACCGCGATGAGATGCCTCCGACTGGACTTGAGCCGGTATGCTCATTCAGGGCGCTCGCTCATCACTTGGCGTGATCGATTCTTAGCGCGATCGATTCTTGGTCGACGCCTCTCCGCACAATGGAACCGTTCAGCCCCTAGGTTCCATTTCCTCTTTCTCATCTGGGACCTGGATAGGCCGTTCACCGGTGAAATGACCTCGCATTCTATCGTCTACACAAGCCGGGTTGGCTGGGTCGAAGGGCGCAGTCCGGTCTAGCTCGGTCCAGGTCATGAGCCTGACTCTCACCCACTCTACGGCGTACAGGGCGCGGGTTTGGAAGTTGGTCACAGCTGAGGCCTAATCCTCACTCGAGCGCGGCATACGCCCCGCGGGTTAACCGGGAGATGGGGGTAGCGCCCTATTTCGTTCCTTGCTTCCCATCGTTTATTGATGGTTTAAGGTGGAACGCTGAAGGGTGGTTCACCATATGTTCGCATGGTGGAGGACGCCGTCACAGAGACTCAGCAGACGGTCTCAGTAGGATCTGAGTATAAGGTGCAAATCTGGTCATGATCTAGCATGGCTGGTCACGGTCTTACTTCGTGCATGCGTAGAGGACATCATGCGCTGTGTGATTGCGTCGACGACGCAATCACATAGCGTGCCATCAAATGGTGCGTCACGCGAATGGCAGCCATTTGCGTGACCGTTACGTACGTGATGGTGCGTTTCGATGGTGCGTGCACTCGGGTGTATACTCGTTAGTAGAATCATGAGCAGCAAAAGTAGTGCCAGTATGATCGTATAAGTTCGATCAATCGGGCAGGTTAAGACATCTGACATCGTGCACTGCAGTCGGCTCTGCACTGTCAGACGCCTCTACCCTCACCAAGCGCTCAACCACCGCAGTACTAGCATTGTGCCAACGCAGTGCGTCGATCAGACATCGCTAGGTTCGTCGCTTGGCTATCGCAATGGCCCAGTTTACTAGATTCGTAAAATTAGTCGACTACGGCTCGTAGTATAGGGCAGTAGTTACGGATCGTGGGTTTGGGAAGACGAGAACTTCGATCCTGCAGATTGAACCAATCATACTGTCGCTAGTTTCTGGGAGAAGCCCTCTGATGGGTATTACATACGAACACTGTGACATAGAGCCTTTCCGAAACGGAGAAGTTAGGCGAGAACTTTTCCTCAGTCGTTTGAAGTTTAGCTGTATCCACAACTGTGATTATAGGTATCAAAAAATTCAAATTTAAAATAAAAGAATAATAGCAATTATACAAATGGCAGTGTATACTTGGTTGGTTATTCCTATAGTGTACTATTACATTACATTCATATCCGACAGCTGCGAGTTGAAGCGTTTTATGCTTTCAGTGTAGCGACGCTATTATTCAGATATCGTTTGTACGATCCAGAGGGTATGACTGATCGGAGGTTGAAAGTTCTGGTAAGCCGGGCCGCATTCGGGAAGGAAGTATGTACAAAGGGCTCCCCTATACATACTTCCTTATTTCCAGTCGGCCGTTATTCGGGACTAATCAGTAATTTGTAACTTGGCAGCAATTTGGGACTGTCAGATACATAAACTCGCCGAATTCCAGCCGAAACAAGAGGAAGCAGAGCTGACTGCTTCGCAATTAGAAGATATCAGAGAGAAATGGGTCGCGCTAAGACGGGATGAGGTCGACAAAGTGACGTTCGATAACTGTGCTTCTTATCAGCCCTAGGCTGCTGCAACCCTCAGTGCATCACAGAGTCTCCGTACTCAAAACGTGCGGCATAAGCCAGATTTCACTGAAACGAGCTGTTGGGCTATTGCGTTTAGAGGATGTTCTTGGGTACCCCTAGGTAGAAGGTTACTGTGGTTTGTCAGTTCCATTGGCATGAACCCAGAAATATATGCTACAAATACATCTGGTCTCGTCCACTCTATGACCCAAGCTGCTCCGACGGGCGTGCCCTTGGCGAGTTCTCCTCCGTCGTCTCCCAGCTCTGGTGAGGTCTCGACAAATTTGAGGGCTCCGCTGGATAATATTCTTTTCCGGGGGAGCTATGGGTTTCGGTTTCTGCTGGTTCAGTGGACTGTGTTGAATGAACGCACCTCAGAGATGGAGAAGTCACTTTCGACCGAAATTTCATGGTCGTGTGTGAGTTCGTCTGGGTTATCACTAACAGAGTTTCTTTGGCAGTCTGCCATGAATCTGAAACTATCGTGACGAGAGCGCGCTCCAGTGGTCTTTCATTCAGGCACAGGATGTCCGATGCCTGCAGTCACACCAGCAGCACTAGCGGCTCTGAGTGCGTGGATTCAAAAATCATCGCGGAATAACGCTGCGTCTGCTGCTGCTGTGAAACCCCCATCAACAACGTAGATTATCCCACGGCATGAATCGAGCTCTTCAGTATGTCTTCAGGCCCGCTCAACCTCCGGCCCATCTCTCAGCGAAGCAGACAGTCAATGCAGCATTGATAGATCGGCTGCGCGCGGAGATGCGAGTCAAGGCAGCATTCACACCGGCCGCGTCGCAGCCTAGTCGGTCAACACCGGTACAGCCCCCTCCTCCACCTGAACGCCAGGAGGTAAGATCTCGAAAAAGGTTTTTGATGTTCCTGAATGTCTTTCTCTCAGTCCTCGACGCCGTCGGGATGGCTTCCAACGGTTCGAATTGCTGGTGCTCTCTGTGCTCACCAAGGTTGCTTCAATAACGATTTAGCATGGAACGACACCGTGCCTGAGGCTGTCTTCCATGCAGGTGAATGAGTCGTCCAGCACAGTTGACCGACTTGTCATTTCTATCTTGTAGGCAACACACAACCGATGTATGCTGCTCGATCTCGGCGAGGTAACTCTAGTATGGCCACTTTCGGCCTATGTGCGACTCACTATAGGGAGATCAAGCTCGCCCTCTCAATGTTCCAGGTGACAATGGGAGATATGTTGTTCATTGAAATGACGGCTAATGAGCTAGTCTGTGTCAAGTCGTAGAGTATCAACAAGCCGTTCTTTTCTGCATCTTCAGCGTTCCAATTTGCCTACAGAGTACCTGGTGAGCACGTTGCGAGCACTTGATCAAGCGCGTGGCGTGCGAGAGACGGCGCGAAGGGAAGGTATGGCTTCACAACGATATATGCTAGGCGTTCAAATGTTGTGCAGCATTTCCGACGCCTCCGCCTGAGCGAGTACCATCGAATTCCTCAGACGTCATGCGGAATAGCTCAGTTGAGGCGGCCGAAGTCGTGCCGAAAATCGGTAAGCAAATGGAACGAACAGATTCTTCTATGTGCGAGAAGTGCATATGTTCGTATTGTGTTTCGCCATATATGCTGGAATGAGGATCTATGACACGCCACTACGGAGTTTTATGAACTTACGTCAGCTTCAGATGTCGAGGTCGTTGGCTCTGATGACGAGGATGATGGGAGTGACGTGTTCGAGGCCATAGTTGTGACTGATGCACCTACGAATGACCCTACCGTAGCCTCGATCCGGGCTGAAGCTCCTCAAGACCAGCGTGCGGAAGTTCCAGTCGCGGCTGATACTGTTCGAGACGACCCTGCGAGAGTTCCAGTCGCGGCTGATACTGTTCGAGACGACCCTGCGAGAGTTCCAGTCGCGGCTGATACTGTTCGAGACGACCATGTGGGAGTTCCAGTCGCGGCTGAAGACGAACATGCTAGAGCCCCAGGGGTGGCTGATACTACTCCGAACGAGCGTGCGAGAGTTCTAGTCATGGCTGATACTACTAAAGATGAGCATGCGAGAGTCCCAGGCGTGGCTGAGGCTTCTCAAGATGAGCGTGCGACACTTCCCGTCGAAGCTACGGCTTCTCCAGGCGAATCTTCGATAACCCCGGTCACACCGGATGATCATCCGAAGGAACCTGTTATAGAGCGAGTCGAGGCTGATGATTATCAGGTCGGGAGTTTCTCCATTGGAGTGCATGCAGTTGATGGGACGAAGGACGGCCGAGACGAGTGAGCTAAAACACTCGGAATCACCCTCGAAATTGTATTTCTTCTCAGGGCGTCTGTATCCACAACAGCGGGCCCTTCGAGTGGTCATGCTGTTGAGGAATCGACAGTAGGGAACACATTGTGTGGCCATGAACAATTAGTACAAGCAGCGGCTGTATCCAGCACTGTGGATGAGAAGTCGAGAGACACGACGTCTGGCGAGGCTTCCAAGCTGGCCATTCCGGAAGATGGCGAAAAACTCGAGGACAGTATTCTTGAGGAGCTGCATGGGAAGCGGAGACTCTCCAGCACAAGCGTACTTGAGTGCACTCCAGCTGTGAAGAGGAAACGAAAAGAGCGACGACGACCGGCAACGAAGAGGAAAGCAACAGATGAACTGAAGATATCAGTGGCTGAGGAAGAGACAGGAGAGAAGTTAGGAACGAAGGTGGTGAGCCATATGGAGCATCGAGGCTGTCTTTGGAAACGAGATTTTAGGAACCATCGATCACGACTGGTCGTGGGAAGAGAAATAAGGCAAATGATGAAGCTAGATCCGTGAGGGATAGAGATATGATACAGAATTCAAATGCATCTTGTTCCATTGCTGAGGACGCTGCGGAAGAAATAGCGTCTGAAGCAGATGAGGAAGAAGAGGAAGTGTAAGTTGAGCTCGTAGTGTCTATCGTGTTAGGGTTACCTGTCTCCATCACTCATGCAAGGTTCATTGAGCAAATGCCTCATAGGACTTTGTTTTTTTTTCAGGTTTGCTGTGGAGAAGTTGCTGAAGTGGAAGTTGGATAACCGTGGACGTAGGAAATTCCTAGTCAAATGGGAGGGATACCCTCTTTCTGAGGCCTCGTGGGAGCCCGAAACAAATTTAAATAGGTACGGCGTGATCACGGCTTTTTGCAGAATCGATGGTCCACCATCTTTGTGATCAGTTCCATTGAAATTGATGAGCTGAAGGCAGCAGTGTTGGCAAAGCCTCCGTCCATCGGTCGACGGAGTCACGCCAAGAAGATATCACGTCGATTTTGATTGTTGTTATATATTCTTTGTTCTCGTACACGTATCGAATTTCAAAAACTGGACTCCTTCTACTGTGCGAGTTATCACACTATATTATTTTACCTTTCCTTTGGGCTCCTATACTATTGAAATGGCAAGCTGTCTGTAAGTAGAAGGAACACGAGCGACCCTGTCTCAGTTGACTTTTTTGTCGAGTTTGGTTTGGCGAGCAAATGCTTGGGTACAAAAAAAGTGGTCATCTCAGCATGCGCGGAGACACGGTGTGAGTAAAAGAGCGTGTAACGACCAGTGGACGCAGTGTATATCTCCAAAAGTACTCCAGTGTTACAAGAACCGTGAATAGAAAAGGGTACGGTTTTAGGATTCTCAGCTATATCAGTAAAACTTTGAGTAATGCATCAAAAACAGTCGGCAAAAGTTGAAAAAATGGCATTTTTTTCAAGAGAAGTTATTCGAAATTATGGTAGAGGGTTGAATTGACCCGAAAATGCCGTATGGGTGGCGATCAAGTATCTCGGCAACCAGATTTGGGAGGGTTGGAAAATACATCATCAGGTTGGAGCTCTGTGGGGTCTCGACGGAGTCTTGCAGCTTTTGTGACGCATATGAGCTCACTCGACGGTGAGCAGCAGCAGAGGAACGGGAATCGGCTGCGATCAGCGGAATCGCTGTATGTACTCCGAGACTTCCTCCGAGGAACTCGCTATCCAATCGCTTCGAGAGTAATGCATGGATATTTGATTGCAGCATCATCATCAACCGTGCCGCCAGAGACAGTCATTGTGACACAGTTGCTCTCAGGCGTTAGTCGTCGAGTGTGGTGGAAGTACTCCTGGCTGTAGGAGATCTACCATGCGTTGCGTCTCTCAATGGATCCGCAAATTCTGTGGGAATTCATCTGCGACAGAGGTTGAGGAATACGGTTTCAATGAGCTGTGGAAGTGAGATGTTTAATCGTTGGAAAAGTGATGATGTGGGTACTTAGGAAATATGAGGGCTGCTCTATGGATATGCTAGAGAGTATCGTTGAGGACCTCTCCAGTATGGAGGACGCGAAGCGAGTCATCGTGATTCGAGACCCGATGGCATGTATGCGAACTGTAGATGATGCTGCTGCTGTGGCCTCGGGGGGTGACGCTGATGTAGATGGAGATGATGAAGATTGGGGGGAAGAACAGTCGCTGGTGGGTTACCCATCTCGTCCATCCTGATGTTTGGCTAAATGTGATGTACTTGTTCAGGCTCGTAAATCACTGGACTCAACGCTCGGCCTAGTTTTGTGGCTCGCTAGGAGTGTTCCTATAGGAGTGAGAATCGTCCTGTTGGTGCCTTCTGGAGCTACCACGGACATGTTCGGAGAGTTCTGCGGAGTCATGCGTCTGACTGTTGGAGAGGTAGGATGTTACTTCAGCTTGATGCAGTTTGTTGTTTACGAGTCCTGTTGCTGCAAGCGCTCCTGTGATGATCATAGCTGATGCCTCTAGGTCCGTGATCTCTCTGGTTCTACCAGTGAGCTGCCGATAAATCCTTCCGGACCATTGGTGGGGTTACTTGCTCATCATCGAGCCAGTCGTAGCTTGCCCCATACCCGAGGCGGTCTGGTAGGATGAGAGCACCTCGTAATTGTTCATTTTTATAGTTGTCGACCAGATATGTGTCAGTGGCCCTAGTGGCAGTGGGAAGACGGACGAGTTGAGGAGGCTGAGAGCGTCTGTGTCCTCTGGGAAAGCTATTGAAGTAATTCCATGTTATTCTGGAACACGTACTTTAGGTCCATCAAAGTTACCCGTGGGTTTCAGTAGCCTGTTGATATGGTCGTTTTAGGTACGCATCGCGGACGTTGTGGCTGCAGAACTGGGTGAATCTCAAAGGCGACTACGCAAGGTGAACATTGCATAAGGAGGGGAAGTGAAACGATGATAGCAGTAGCAGTCTGCGGCATTCTAAACTAGCTGATACTGTCTCTGACAATAGACATTAAGCAACTCGAGGATAGAGGCATTCTGAACGCCTCTGAAGGAGCGTGCCACCTTCTTGGGCAGAGCACGGCATTTTCGATTTCTCCCCCAACAAGGACAGTTTCCCTTTTAAATTGATAGCCACTCTCATAGCGGATACTATATGAAGGAATAGATGATATCCGTGACCGTTCCTTATTGTCTGGGAGTTACAGGCTGTTTTCTTGTGAAAAGTTTATGATTATGTTACTCCATCGCATCCACATTCATGTCTACTGATTTTCTGCGAATATCTTTCAGATTTATAGCGAACTAGCCTCTTGTTCGCGGTTCTCTCCGACTGTTCCGGCGGTCGCGATGTTCGATGATTGCGATTTGTGGGTGACTAGCGCTGGAAGAGTGATGGGGGAGATCCTCTCGCAATGGACTGCTCTGCTTGATGTGCACAAGGAGGATGTTTGGACGGTGAGTGCGTTGTGAGTGCTTTCTATCGCCTTGGCCAGCAGTCGATGATGTCAAGCAATGAGGAATGCATCTCTCAGTGGTGACATGCGAAGATCGAGAAGGGCTCCCTGAGTCGTTGAGTTGTCGTGTCACCAACTGGATATGTCTCTCTGATGCGCGTCACTTAGCAATACGTAAACGCTGAGTTTCTTCTCGTCACCTGCTCTGTGT